AGTGCAGACTGTAATGCAGTAAAAAGTGAAATTACTAACTCAGCCAAATACCCTAAAATTAAAGCCCATTTACCAAAACGTAAAAAAAAACAAGCCTTTTTCTGGTGAATTTTGAAATGCTAATTAAAAAATGGAATTATCTGAAGGAAATGATTAATTTATTTGCAGGCAAAGTATGAAATATTAGCAGCAAAGGAAATCTTGAAAAGTCAAGCCTGGGAACCTTTAGTAGAGAAGGCTCCCGAAGGTCAATGGAACTGGCCCATCGTATAATCCATGGAACTAATGTGATTCTAATGTTTTGCTCTTTCATTTGAAATAAAATGGAATAGGATTTTTGAAAAGAATGTAAATAAAGCATTATTCTTATCTGGATTTGCATTGTCTCTTCAGTCCTAAAATCTAGTGTATCTCAGTCGAATAGTTATTCTTATATTTAATTTCGATATTTTACTATTTTATTGTTTGGTTTACTTTCCCATTTTTCACAACTGCTGTTTAAGGAGTGGGGTTTCATTTTCAGGGTATTTCAAGTTTTAAATTGGCTGTTCACATGATACTGTGGATAGTTTTTACTAAGGATGGATTGATTTGTTAGAATCACTTCGGTTTTAAGCCTTTGAATTTCTTCACAGATTCGACAAAATCATTCTCAAAATTCAAATTTTTTCAGCAATTTGAAGAACTTTTTGATGGAGTTACCGGATCCATATTTACCCGGTGCTTTAAGCTTGTTGGAACAACTCGACAAGAAACTTCTGGTTGTCCTTCGTGATGGACGTACTTTAATTGGTTACTTAAGGTATTTTGCGCTCCAATCATTTCGAAACAACCAACATTCACGTGTTGACCTTTCAAGATGCTTTTATTTGACAAATTTTTCTCGGGATTCTGGACTTTTGAATTCAAGTTTGAAGGGCAGTGATGGTCATGTAATTAGCGGTATACATAAAGTTTGTTCCCGTACTTACTTTCGATTGATAAGTTATCAGCTTATAATTCAATTTTGAAATAATCGTGAGGTATTATTTGGATATTCTATCACAGGACAATTGATCAGTTTGCAAATTTGGTATTGCATGAAACTTTAGAAAGGATCCATGTTGATAAATACTATGGTGATATACAACGTGGAGTATTTTTAATTCGTGGGGAAAATGTCGTTCTAGCAGGTGAAATTGATGAAACGAAAGAGCAATCTTCAGGTTCAATCTTTTCTTTTTTAACAAAAAAATCTTCAACAATCTTTTTTTCCAAAAATCTGTTTATTTATTTGTTGTTTATTTGTTGTCATCTGTTTATTTGTTAATGTTAGCCAATGTATTGTAAATAAATAATTTGAGAAATTCAGTAATTGAAGAAGCTATATTTATTTTCGTATCTTTATTATAAAAAAGTTTTTCAAGAATTTTTCTAGTTCGAACAATGGGATATTTATTTTATGTTACCCTATATCCATGTCGAAGATGAAATTCTTATTCAGCCAGTTTTTGAATACCGACTGCATTGCTGTAATTAGCACTAGAAATTGTAATCGTTTCATTTATTTATTCTTTAGGTCTTATTCCACTTTCTGCAAAAGAGATCCTTTCGTTGCAACGAGAAAAAATAGAGGAGAAAGAACGATTCGAGGAAGCTAGGAATAAAATAATGAAAGGACGTGGTCGTCGGGTAAAACCTGTAGTTGATGTTTTTAATGATGAATCATGATTATTTCTTCAATTTAATTTTGTGGTTTCTGTCCATGTTTACAACTGATTACTGAATTGTTAAGGGATTTGCACTAAAGTGCTTTGTTCACATATTCGGCAAGATGTTTTTTATAAATGCTCATTTTATGATGTCACTAAATTGATACGAATAGGACATATTCAAGCCTTGCACCTTAGTTTTTTATCTTCCATTCAATGAATACCAACTCTGCTAATCATGCAAATACTGCTATTTTTCCTGCTGAGCTAAATGCGTTATCAGGCTTTCCATTCTCAAGTTTTGTGAGACATAACGTCCACTTTTGCTGATGAAACAAATTTAACATATTTGAGAAATATAAACACAATGTTTCATTCTTGACATATTTTGTAGGATATTTATTATAAATTCAAATTTTATATATAACATTTCCTATAAATTTTTATTTATTTTCAACAATCATTTTAGCGACATGAAAATGAAGGCAAGCACTTTCTTTAATTCCAAATTTTTTTTGTTCATGTCTTGGATTTTACTTGCAAATAGCTTTAAAATTTATTTACTGTGGCATTGACTGTAAACTTATTTGTTTTGGGCAACATTCATAAACAAACTTGTTTTTTAATCCTTTAATTTCTAAATATGAAAACATAGCGTTCATCATTTGGGACAGATCACAGCGTCATAAGTTCACTTACTATGAATGCTTCGTTTCCAATAGCTCTGTTGTATATTTTCATTATTTTAAATTATTTGTATTTATCTGCTTTTATCGTATAAAGTATTGTAAATAAATGGTGAATATTTCATAAAAATTTTCTGGTGCAATGGAATTTGTTCCAAAATTATATACCGTATTCGTGGGTTAAGCTTTTTTTTTAAATTTTTTTTATAGTTTTATTATTAAATGTGTACCATATTGATATCAATAAAAGGTTAGTTAATAGTTTGTTTATTCGTTTATTTTTTTAGCTAAAGATCTGACATATATTTTATTATAAGGAGGAAATCCTAAAATATAGAATACTAAATTGAGAAGATTTTCCTTATGCTGATATTTTCTAATATATTTATTTCATGTGGGAAAGAATTGAATGGTTGAATGTTTTATCAGTCAATGCTTTGATAGATGTTTCTTTTGAAATTTTGTATACATTATGAAATCTTTCTTGAATGATTTCACTGAAATATGACGAGCTTGTCAATTACAAAATATACTTTACCTCTTCTGTCATTCCTTTTTTTTGCAGTTTATTGAAAATTATATCTTTGTATAATCAATATTCCTTTTTTTTGTTTTTTTTTTTAAACCAAATTTTAGGGGAATCAATTCAAAATAGTTATTTTTATATTTTTATGAAAATAAAATTTCTAGAAATTATTTCGATTATCAGTAGTTATATTTTTTTATTACCGTAATAGATTCCATGAATTGTATGATATTATCAATAGCGATATGATCATTTACATTTGTATGATTGGTTTTTAATAATGAATCATTAATTTAATTTTACAAAGTAAACTAGTCTAGTCTAACTATTTCACAAAAAAAAAGAAAAAAAAAGGAATTTGATAAAATACAAAAAAAAAGAAAACTGAAAAAAAAAACTAAATAGTATATAATCAGCAGTTAATTTGTTTATCTTCTATTTTAAGGTAATATATTATTTGAAAAAGTTTTGTTTTTTCTTTTCGAATTTTATAAATTATCTGTTATCACTGTTATGTAAAGGGAGAGAGAGAGAGAGAAAGAGAGGGAGAGAGAGAGAGATCATGAACTTGTTTGTTAATAAGCATGCAAATATTTTATTGTATCTGATGAAATTTTCACTCTTTTTTAATAATTTAATTGGAAATGTATATTTTTTTTGGAAATGTATTGTAATTGGAAATATATCATATATTTTAATTATCTTGTATCATATTTTGTTCATTTGTATTGAAATTTTTATAAATCGATCATTAATTCTAATATTACTTTTAATATTAGGAAGTTTACTCATGAATGGAGCTGTTGAAATTGTTGAATTGAAATGAATTATATATATTTACAAAATGAGAAATAATATATCTTGAAAAATGTTGCCTAATTTAAACTTATGAAAATTATCATCCAATTTTTAAATGTTGCATTACATTGCATCATTTTTAATTAAAAATTTCATTCCATTGATGATTTAGAAGAAAAGTATTCGACAAGAAGAATGGAAAGTGGGACAATAAACCTTTTTTTCTTCTCTCTCTCTCTCTCTCTCTCTTTCTCTCTCTTTCCTTTTCTTAAACTTGTCATTTAGTCATTTCTAACTTTTCTAAAAACATTTTCCTTTCCTTTCTTTTCCTTTTCATATCACTCTCTTTGTTCTGATTTTTTGTATTAATTTTTAATGAAATATGGAAATTTTAAAAAGATAATTGCAGCATAAAATTATTTGTTTTGTTGCAAAATGAAAAGTAATTATTTAACAATAATTTTTTTTTTTCATTTTAAGGTTTTTTTTCTTTCAATTTTTAGCTATTTCAAAAAGCTTTCACACATGATTTACTTTTGCTAAGTTAATTTTTGACCTAATTTGCATAAAAATCTTTTCTCTGCGTTTTTTTTTTCTCGTCCATTAAAAAATGCGATTTGATAATTCGTAAGAAATGAGGTGAAAAGCGAAAAGTTATGAGAAGGTTGTCATTCTACATTTAAGGATGAATTTGTAAGCGTGCTAACATTCAAGGATGAATTTGTAAGTGTGATAAGCTTTTAAGGCTAATGCTGTCAATTATCTATTAATTATGTTTTCATGCTTAATTTACCATTAATCGATGTGCTTATGTTTCAAAGTTAATTTGTCACCTAATCGATCTGTTTACATTTCGAAGCCAAAGTCTGCTAATCTCTTTCCAAGCCTAAAATTCTGCTAATGTTTTAAAATTTGACAAAAAGTTTCTTTCCAATATGAATAAGACCAACAATAAGGTTGAATTATGTTTATTTTTAGTTTTGTGCTTGTAAAAAACATTTGAATAATTTGATATTTTTAATTTTCTTTCCTACCAAATTGTGGGAGAAATTAGCTGGCGATAGATTAATTTTTTCTTTTTTTTTAAGGAAATTAAAATTTGTAGAAATTATTCTACTTTCAGGTAATTGTGTTTTTATTATCATAATAGATCCTATAAAATGCGTGATATTATCATTGTGATAATGGTAACTGAATTAATTGTCATTGAATTAGTCGAATTGATCGTAAACGAGTAGGCTTATCGATTTGTTTTAATAGGTATAAGATAGATTTGATATGAAAATCAGTGATAAATAAATAAATAAATGAACCAGATTAATCATAGGGAATGCTTAATTAGTAGACCATTAACTTCTTTAATAAGCTAAATTAATCATAAAGTAAATACCATGAATTATAAATGAATGAGTAAACTAGGATTAAGCATGAGTATATGGAATAAGATACTCAAAAAATGAGGCTTATTCCCAAGAAAAAAAGAAGATTTAAGTAATAATATAGGTATAAGTAAATTATTTGAGTAATACGAAAAAAAAATTGATTAGATTAAATATGATTAAACAATTGATTAGATGCAAAATTATCTCTCTAACATAATTTTGGAATATCAAATATGACACATCACCGATAACATTCTCACTCTTTAGGTTTATTTATCAATATAAATATTCCATCGTATTCCTTATTATCTAAAGATTAGTATACAGATTAATTTCTGTTTTGTTCCATTTTTAAATCAAATATTAGCCTATTAGCTCGAATAATACTTTTTGTTTGTTTTTTTTGATTATTTATTAATGATGAGTTAAAGTTATTTAATGATCATCTTTTCTGAATACAAATATTTTGGTTTACACCTTGATATGTAGTTGTCATATTATTATAATTTATTGAAATTATTTTTCATTTATGATGTTACATATCATTAGCTTATCAGTTACACTCCATATCAGATTACATTTTAGGTTATACTAAACGTTTGTTACCTATGTTTGTTTTTTTTTTGACTATTTATTAATGATGAGTTAAAGTTATTTAATGGTCTTTTATTTAATTCAATATATTTATTAATTCAATATATCAATATATATTTAATTCAATATATAAGGTTATTTAATTCAATATATCGTTTGTTACCTAACGTTTGCTACCTATTGTACGTGAAAATTAAAATGACTTATTATAATTCCAATGTTGTAAAATTATATATTAAAAGCTAACATTACAAAACTACAACAATATGGAAGAAATTATTACTTTTTTATTTTGTCTTAATTCTACGATTGTATTTATGTTGATGTTTTTCATTTTCTGATGTTATATTTGTTTAATCGACAAATTAAAAAAAAAAAATAGTTATTACTAATATTATTTCAGATTTTTGCAAATTTCCGTGTTATATCATTCTCGATATATTGAAAAATGCCAAATTTTGGTCAATTACCGAAAGTAGTCTTTGTTTTAGGACCTCCAGGATGTGGCAAAGGAACACAGTGTATGAAATTAGCAAAGGTTTTTTTCCTGAAATTAATTTTTCTGAAATTTATGCTTTCGAAATATATCATTTAACAGTGAAATAAGATGAAACATAGGATTCTATCCGGACTTTATGTCTATAGTTGAAAAAGCCATTACGCCAAAACGATTTATTACGTTGAAATATCGTGATGTTGTTTGGTCATCTTTTAGCTTTTAAATATTACTTAAGATCCAAAAAGGGTAAGAAGCTAATTGCAGAATCTCGGTTTGAAGCATTTGAGTGCCGGCGAATTGCTTCGGAATGAAAGGAAACGTAGTGATTCTCAATATGGACAAATTATTGAATCACATATTCGGAATGGCACTATTGTTCCGGTTGAAATTACTTGCAAACTTCTCGAAAATGTAAGTTGTATCAGTAAGCATTCAAGTGACGACTTGTCAGTTTTGATAGTTTGCAAGCGGCAGTTTTATTATGAGATATTTCTAGGACTTTTCTGCTTAGCTTTACTGTGTTTTAAATGCAGCCTGAGCTTTATTTGTCACTTCAGTAAATCTAAATTTAGTAATTGCTTAGATCTCTGAAAATGTATTTCGGAGATTGTAATTTGGTTTATGCTACAAAACACACCGTGAATATGGTCTGGCAAATCGCGTATCAAAACAATGAATGGAAGTAAGTTGTGTTAGGGTTAGAATGTTAGAAATATATTAACTTTGAAATCATAAGACAAAATTTTGATGATACTCAAAATTTTCATCCAAACTAACTATACTACTGTTTCTTTTCAGGCAATGAATGATTCGTTGTCTGCAAAAGCATTCTTGATTGATGGTTTCCCAAGAAATCAGAATAATGTGGAAGGATGGGAACGTATGATGCTTTCAAAAGCAAATGTTCTATTCGTTTTATATCTGCATTGTCCAGATGACGTACGTATGTTCCGTTTCTTATCACTCATAAAATTAATTTTTCTCCAGTTTTTTGGTATTTTCAAATTTAATTATAATTTTTTTCGTAGATTCTGCGTCGTTTTATTTCGTGATTTTGTATTTTCTCAGAAAATTCAAAGTTGAATTTTCAGATTTGTGTAAAAAGATGCTTGAATCGTAATGAAGGACGTTCGGATGATAATGAGGAGTCGTTACGTAAAAGGATTAAAACATATCATACACAAACAATACCAATCATAGAACACTACAAGGCAAAAAATCTTGTGCGACAAGTATCAGCAACGGCATCACCAGATGAGGTATTTTTCTCCAATCAAACATTGATCCTGGAATTTTTAAAGTTCTATATGTATACTTTAAGGATAAATTCGTCCACCAGCAAATTGGAAAGGTCCTCTCTAATATGGTTTGACAATTCTCGGAAAAATTCCGAAAATATTCCGAATTTATCTCATCCATTCACGATTAGTTGCACATTACCTCCGAAGTCCGCTGTATTTCTCACATGAATTTAGGATAGTTAATTAATTAATTGATTCCAAAATCCTTCGAATTTAATCGATTATTGTTAACTTCTCCACATTTCAGGTTTACGAAGAAGTGGAAAAAATTTTTAAAAACTCTGGCATCTAAGAATGCCTGAAAATCCATCATTTAAGATTGTTTCATCACTTATTATATTCTATCACAATTTAAAAATTTATGATATCACTGTTGTTCGTTAATTTCTTCCATGTACATTATTTTCTATGGTTTATTAATTTATTCCACGGTACTATTTGATTAATTCCATATTTGACCGTGGTTATTCTTTTCGTTTCAAATATTGTCTCATTGTTGCGAAATCTTTTTCCGTTTCCTACAAGAAAACCATGAACTAGCCTTGTTAATGATCCTTGTCTAACTATCCATCGAAATCTTTTTACTGAAAGAATTATCGAATAAGTCCTAAAACATTACAACTAGCTATATTTGATACCTTATTGAAAAGCTTTGCCATTGGAAATTGATATATTTTTCATCTTATTGAAGTTTATATTGTTTTTTCATCAATTTATATAATATGTAATCTGTGATATTCGCATTATCTACTAATTTTATGTAGTCGTTCAATGTCTGCCGTAGAAACTACTCTTATTGGAATCTCAGTAAGTGTACAATTGATGGCCTTTTGCATCAAGTCTTGCAACATGTTAGAATGTAACAAAGTACGCGAGACATATGAAATATCATAGCTCACCTTCTGTGAAATGAATTCTAACTTTCCAAATTTTGGAATCAAACTGAAGAAGGGTAAAGAAAGTGATGGTTGCGCGCAACAATTCTCTACCAAGTTTGTTTTAGTCAGTTGATAAACTATAATTCCTTAATAGCCGGAACTTTATATCCCGCGGGGGATATAGTACTTGGTATTCAGTAGTTCGATCTTCTTGGAAAAAGTTCTGTATATAGACAATCTAGAAAGGAACAGTGATATTTTACTACGCAACATATAACAAAATCAAATTATCAACTTTGAGCTGTATGTTTGTTTCGCGGGAGATCTTCCACAGCTTTCCCTGAGTTTTGGGTATCATTTGGCTGAATGGCCCAACCTGGTATTTCACTTGAATAACACCATTCGCTAGTTTGATATTTGAGACAGTGCAGGTGTAACATCATATGTTCAGGCGTAATGTCTTTCTTTTTCACGTTGCAATGCATACATATTGGATCATATTCCTGGCGTACTTTTGTGTCTAATCCTTCTGACTCGGGTTGTATCTGAAATTAATTGTAATTGACCTAGTCCGGAACATGAAAACTTACTTCCTTATATTATGTTACGATTTGGATTAAAAATTATGAACGAAATTCGTGGAGTTATTGGCAAATGGTATCGTTCCTGAACCAAACACAGCATCGGAGAATTCATAAGTTTTCTTAAGCTTTCAAAAATCAGCTTTGAAATCACCTCTCCTTCAGCAATTCTTTGTACTCTGATCTCATATTCAGGGTCTACTTGTTCATGCCAATTAGATGCTTTATGCTCCTCCAGAACATCTTTCCGAAGCTGAAAAAAAAAAAAATGGCAATAAAGGCTGAGATTTCGTGCACTACATATTTTCCTGACAAATTTTCTACAAATTTTGAAATTAGTAAAAAATTTTAAAAATGAAATGATGGTAAAAAAAGTTTTTAAAAATTCGACAAAAAGTTGTATATATGGTAGTGTTTTGCATCACTCCTTTTCATTTTCAAACCATCTTTTTTTCAGCACTTGGCCTTTTCCTTACTTGATCCAATGATTTTCCATAATTTCCATCCTTGCCTTTGGTTTGACCCCAAGCAGCAGTATTGTAAATATAATCATCTACTATTGGATAACCTGAAATAATGATGATATATGAATGAAGATTCTATTGTATGACAGATAACATCTGACTAGTAAACGAAAATTCCGTTAGCATTCAAATGAACAGGGAAATAGTACTTACATCTTCAAACATTCTAAAATATCACTTATTTTGCTAAATGTAATATTTACTTTAAGAAGTTAACCTAAATATTGCAAATGAACACGAATTTGATGGGTACGACCGGTTTCAAGCATACAACGAACGATCGATGTTTGACCGTCTGTCCATAAACGCCAAAAACGGCTTCGAGCACACTTGCCATCATCACGAATGCACTGGATACCCATCGAAAGAACAAGTGGTCCAATAGGACGATCACAAATTATCTCTTTATCTCTTCAGAAAAAAGAATTAATGTGGAAATTACAACATTTAGATTTCACTCCTTAACCATTATAAGCAACAATAGGGTTAATAGCGAAATACAGTGATGATAAGCTAAGCTATAAATTTCTCAGCCAAGCCGATCGATAGATTTCAACAAACCTAAGACACTGAATCACTATATTATCAATTCTCCTTAAAATAACGAAATCAGATCAAAATTAAGATTTCTTACAAAATAAAAATATTTCACTTCAAGTAATACGCATTAGACTAATTGTGAGCTTACTTCAACTTATCAGCTATAGTACGTAAACAATTCTTTCTTCTTCCTTTTTATTCATTTTAACAATTTTAGAGTGCATACATCACAGTTTTCTAATACAAAAAATTAAAAACAAGAAACAAAAGTTCACTCACGCCGGGAAAACGCCTTCCACTTTACAGAGATATTCTTTATGCCATACTTCACCAACACGTAACATCTTTTTTAGCTGAAAATAAATTCTTTTCTTTTTAACATGCAATAAATAAAACAATTTTTGAAAGCAATCATTAATTTGGCAGTCACAAATACAACAATAAATTCAATATGTGTTTCAAAATTACTAATGATTAGAAAATTTCAATGTTATGTGTGTAACATAATAATACTTTCCCTTTTTTTCCTAATTTCCTAATCTTTTTCGAAGCATTTTCGATGCTTTAGTTTGTCATTCCATTTATAAAACTGCTACTGTTATAATAGCTCATATAAATTAATTTAAGAAGGTATCTCAGAAAATTGCTGGCAATCAACTTAATTATTAAAATTTGATAAACTGGAAAGCAAAAGCTAACTTTGGTATCCGTTTCACTATTTCTAGCAAACAGTAACACACCGGATGTTGTGCGATCCAACCTGTGTACAACTATAAAAGTTTGTTGAATATAGAAGTTCAAAAGATAAATTTAAACTATTTGGTTTTATAGATCATAAAAATGGCCGGCAAAAAAAAATGTTTTGCTTAATTTTTAAATTAATAAAATAAATATCTGCTTCATAAGTTACATACGAAGTACAAACATGCTGGTAGGCTAGAAAGATATATCCAGTTCATGCTAAAGTAAAAACCAACCAATAAATTTAAGTGGGAATTTATCTAACATCTGCCAGTTCTGATAAGCTTTATGTTAAACTCATTAAAGTTAATTATCCCGCCTACCACAAGTCACGTTAAAATCGAAGTAATGTTAATGATGCGGTCCCAAAATACTTACTACAGTTCTAGCACTGTTAATTTTTTTTCGTTCGCAACAATATATAAAATTTGTTTACTTAGTGGAATAAAGTTTTAGAAAAAAGCGCTTACCTCTAAGATCACGTAGACCTCGTTGTTCACGTAACATACCCAAAACTGTATGCACACAATATCTACCACATGGATGTACCGGCATACTTGCTGGCTTATCTACCACTATGATATTGTTATCGTTATCAATCACTCTGATATAATGATCCAAGATAGGATGCTCATGACGATGCCCTATATGTTCAATCGAATCGTTATGTTGTACAATGTAATTAACATTCGTCATCTGATTACAGTTCACCCAAATACGGCCTAATTTACATGCTGCTGCCTGTAATGAACAATTCATATGGAAATTTGATTTCTCACTATATGTGGATTTTTTGATATTTCAGATATTAAACGAGAAAAAAAATTACAGTTACTGAATCAAAAAATTGCAACTTTTCTTTGACAATAATTCATAACGAATGAGTGAGACAATAATTCATAACGAACGAGTGAGACTTATAATTTTGATCAAATTTTAGAAAAAATGAACAAGATATTACAGGATAATGTGGGCTCAATGATACAAATTCTTCGGCAAAAAATATACGATCAAACGACGCCCAACCCATCGTCCTTTGGCCCATGTACGAT